TTGGGACCAAGCATACCAAAACATTCCCCTTGAGGCAAAGCAAGTGACAATCCTCTCACTGCAAATTTCTCAGGGTTTCCGTCTTTCCCTGGATAAACCTTTTTCAAATTGTCACAAATGATGGCATGAGTTGTACTTGATTCGAGTAACTGTTCAACTCTCTCCCTCTGTTGAAAAGAGGTCCCATATGGTTAGTTTTGTAGATAGGAACAAACATAATGTTTTTCACCAGATAATTAAATGTTTACCTCCTGAGCAACATCAGGTTTCTCCATTTGGACGAAAACTTTAGAACCCTGCCTTCGTAAACTATGTTTCCTGAAGGAAGGTGAAGGCTTCTTTCGGGAGTTCCACAAGAAAAATAGGGGATCTTTCCCTGATGATGCAATCTGATCAATGTAATAAGCAAGAAAGAGAAAGACCAACCACTGCACTATCATTATTATTAGGACATCCTTCATCCCATTTTTTCCGTCACTCAAATCTTTCCATCTCATACCATCTGTTCCCATATAATTAGCATTGAAAGCATATTGGGAAAACTCATATAATCCACGAAAAAGAGAAAATCCAGGATATATCTCCATAACTATAATCCAGCCTCCTTCAATGTCATGACAGAAGTTACCAGAAGATTAGTATACAAAAGTGAAAAGCAAAATCAAACAGAACTTTCTTTTATCAACGCCACCAACATATCATGAGAAATGAAGGCAAAAGAATCAGATCACTATCTTAATCATAAGGAACAGAAGGGAAGGAAAAGAGAAGAAGTTGATTTTCTTCACCTAATAAAAGTATATAGCTTCTGTGCTCCTTGGTAAAGAAGGGAAAGTTAAAATGAACACAGTAATTTGTTCCCTATAATCATACAAAGCCTGGAGATAATAAAAAGCATTAACATGGAAGGGTTGCTAACCCCCTGAATTGTTCCATCCCCTCATTTACCTCTTCTTCTACATTTCTGTAAATCCAACAGAAAAATGCAAAAAGACCACAGTTGTATATACATATATTTGTATATCATCCAAAGCCTGGAGATATTAAAAAGCATTAACATGGAAGGCTTGCTAACCCCCTGAATTGTCCCATCCCCTCATTTACTTCTCCTCCACTCCTTCTACATTTCTATAATCCAGCCTCATAGGATATGGTAACACTACAGTATGAAGACAGAAAATTCATACCAACATTCGATCAGTAAATCCAACAAAAAATGCAAAAAAACCACAGTTGTGTGTGTGTGTGTGTGTGTATAGAGAGAGAGAGATTACTTTGGAGTACTACAGTAGAGTCCTATCAGGCTCAAATCAGTAACCTCTCACCCCATTACTTAAATTTTTATAACATGAAGCCACTTACATTGAATACGATCAGGAGAAAGAACGAATTTTATAGTCGGGACGTGGTGGTAGAGAATGATGTTGGGCTGAAGCCTCTAATCATTTAACTTTTCTTCTTTTGACTTTTACATGTATGATGCAAATGAATCCTTCTTCTCTCCTGACCCTTTACCGCCTTTCATCCAACCTTCTCAAACATCCCCTGACCAATCTTTTGCCCCCTCCTGTCACCCTTTCTCAGACAGTATTCTCCTTCCCTTTAACGATATTTGTTAACTATTAACTAAGAACTCTAGATAAGCAGATAAAAGAGACAACCATCATGCTATTAAATTTTCACAGTAGAAATTAAATGATGCAATCCCCTCAAAGGTCCCTAATGAACTTCAGGTCAGTACAAATATACTGCTACAATAAAATAGAGTTATCCATCTGGAAGGTGACTAGGTGGTGCAACTATGAAAATCATGATTTATAGTCCCAGCTAGATGATCAAAGAGTTAGCGAGACAGACTAGTATTTCTGAACTTACTGGGAAATGATTCATCCTGGAGAAAGAACTGGAAAAGGAATGCTGCCAAGAGTCCGTTTGCAAACACCATCATATAGCCGATGACTGTTACAATGTCAAGTAAGCAGAATTAGTCATATCATGTTAGTTGCTGAAGGTTAATGTGAAAAATTGCTTCATCCTTCTCATAAACATTCTGTTTCATATGAAATCCGTGCAATATTAACACCAACTTCTATTGCAGATATCAAACCTGTAGCTGTCTTAACATTCGAGAAAAACGCAGCAACCAGAAAAGCAAGGGACATTTGCAAGTTTATGTAAATGAAGTAAAACACGAACTGGATGCTGTAATCATTAAGCAAAAAGAACTTCAAGCCTGCAAAAGGGAATAAGGGGAAAAAAGGAAATTCGTATCAGCCAAATCCATTTAATATACAAGGGTCAACAGAGTAGCAGTAGAATTACCTACTAATGAGCCGAAAACCACAAAACATAACATGTATATAGAAGATACGACCAAAAAATAAGAATAAGAAATCATCCAATAGGGACCATCCGCAAGTCCATGCATTTTCATCATGATTCTTAGTTTCTGCTGCTTCTCATAAACTAGAGCTATCAAAACAACCTGCGAACAATTAATCATGCGATAAATATGACAAGCATAAAGAATTAAATAGAACCATATGATAATAAAAAAATATAACATCAGCATAAGCATATGCAATTACCGTGTTCCAAATTATAATAAGATAAACCTAACCAGGCAAGATACTGTTTTAAGGAAAATAAACACTGGAGGAGTTTCAGAATTACTGATCGTCAAAATCTACAGTACATACCATCGACAAAGTACCGAGTTAAAGAAGCCAGACACTATGAAAGAAGTTTAAACCTTTTGTATGTTTGCTGCGATGAATTCTAGTAAGTATTTCTTGGAATAACTAAATTAACAGCTTAAGAGGCCTTAAAGACTATAATTCACCCATCAAATACTCAGTCTTCCTACTCGTACATGAACCATGAAATAAACCATGTTCAGCCAAAAAAAAAGGCTTAAAACTCATACAGTATGACTGAATAAGGTGTTAACTTTCACTCCTCGTGACTCTTAACACATAAAAAGAGGTAAATACTAAACAAGGCAGTTGATGAATGCCAAGAAAGTTGTCTAGAAAATGGATAGCTGACAAGTGGCATCAATGGATAGAATTAATAGAAAACGGATTTGTCTTACATGATTGAGACTGTCAATTGAAAAAGTCCTTCAAAATAGAATAGAACATATTTACTTACAGGAAAAAGTTGTGAAACCACCCATGTAAAGAATAGTGGTCCCAGGAGAGAAGCAAAGTCCAGCTTGAGTTTTGTTTCTGCTTTGGGCATTTCTTTGACAAACTCAAAGAGCATTCTTGCAGAAGATCCAAGCAAAGACTGAAGGTAGGCATTTGATGCCTGTACATAACATTTAGCAAAAATTAACACATAAGTTACTTAAATATGTTCAATACAACTTTATTTAGTTGTTCATAAATAATCAAAAAAAATTGTAGCTATAGATATTCATTCCATTCAGTCAAGAAGAAGTGCAATGTGAAGAAAATCCGAACAGACAGCTTAATATTTCTTAGTAACGGTCAATGTTGATACAATATGCTTCTTGCTAATTAACTGGAAAATTTCACAATTTAAGAGCTCACAATGACATTTGTCAATGAAAATGAAGATATTTGATCCAGATAGTATCAATACGAAGCACAGATATGATCAGGGTAATCTAGACAAGGCACTGATAGAGTATAAAATTAAGACAAATCTTTCCGACTTTAAAAGCATACAGCAAATCTTATTTATATATCTGTGCGTGTGCGTGTGCGTGTGCACAGTGGCATACGCAGAATTTTTCGTAAGTGGTGTCACATTTAAAAAAAATAAAAAAATGACCTTTTTGACCACGCTTCAACCTTGGTGCACCCGCTCGGGTGTATATCTTATATTTGAAATTACATTTCTTTCCCCTTGATTTATGCATTCGTCTTAAATCAAGTAACTATAAAAGCAAAACGTCACATATTAGGTTACACTATACTCCAACCCATTATACTTAACAAACCATTGAAGATCAAAGCGACATATTTATCATAAATTTTCTTTGAAAAAAATTATAATTTCAAGGTTGGAAAAGACCTCTTTTAAAGATATGCTCTTCTTATTTCATCATGGTTATTTGAATAATATTTTCGAGTTGCCAATCTTTAAGGAATTTCAATTAACTCCTTCACTTTGTCGATGTTGCTCCGACCATTGGCCCTTTCTTCCAAGTTAGATGAATTTTGAGATTTTGAAATTGATTTTGAAAGATTGAAAGATTTTTTAGGATAATCTATTGAAATTTAAGTTGAATTATAAATTAAAATATTTATTTGAGAAATCCCAAATAATTTTATAGAGTACATTCATAAAATAAAACTATTTTAAGAAATTCTAACAAAAAAGTAAAAGATTTAAAGAATGAAAAGGTAAAAAAATAACTTAATTGACCCCAAAAAAAAATTACAACGAAAGCCAGATTGTTTAAAGCCGCTGAATGAAACACTCTCTATCCCAAGAGATGCATTCTTCTTGGAGTAGCTGATCAAAACCGTCTCCTTTTTTTTTTAGCCAAACTCCTCAAAACGAAAATGAGGATATAAAACACCATAAGGTGTGTTCGATCCCGCGACCTTGGCTAGGGAATTCAGGCGCTATACCAATTGGCCAAGAAGAGTTTGATGACAAGTGGTGTCACACTTAATCCATTTTGTAAGCTATATGGTATTTTGCAGATTATTTATATATACATTTAACAAAAGTTTATGACGAGGCGGTGTCACGTGACACCGCTTCACCCTTACTGCATCCGCCCTTGCGTGTGCGTGTGCGTGTAGATATAGATATGTAAATGCATTTAATTATTTATACAGATTCATGTCTCAAGACATATAAATGTATTTGAGAGATTAAGGGCATCATAAAGCAGGGGACACAGGAATGATATGTTAAAGCTAAATGCACTGAGTTCTCTAAATATTCATCCCTTGCATTATCATGCCCGACTCAAGTAAATGGAACTAACTTTCAGGAATCTCTCAATACTAATAAGGATTCCCTTTACTTTGGATTATCAAGACAATACAAATCTTGCAAGGGTCAAGGATAATTTGCATACAGAAGAACATGGAAGTAGAAATTGGAAGGTTTACCAAATTCACTGAACGAGGAACCCTTGTCAATGACATAGGTCGATTGCCTGTGTCATCCTTATACGTAGAGTTATACCAAATATTCACATTGAAACCATTTCTGTTTGAATTAAAGAAATCATATGCTGCAAAAAAAGAGATCATACGTTGTTAAGATGATCCTGAAATAGCATGGCTATGCATTAGGACATTTATGCAGAGAGCACCAGAAGAACCTGCTATTATCTCGTTTATCTTTCCCTCTGGATTTCCTTTCCTGTAACCTTTATAAAGCTCATCATTGATCTCATAAGAACTATTACGCCACAAGTGTATACCTTTCACACAGCTTATCTCTGCATATATTAACCCAATATGGAGAAGATATAAGCTTGTTTGCTTGGAAGAGTCTAATTTTCTTTGACAATACTCGACTATGCATATATATAGCAGCATTAATCCTAGAAAGAGTGTCAGCTCATGTGCTTATCTGCAAATTGTTTATGAATGCGTAAACGTAAAGACCTAAGATTACAATCAGATAGTTTGAGAAGTATGTCCAGCACTGAACTACAACATCTCAAAGATAAGACCTTCGATAATAGAAATTTACACTACTTGGGTCAGACCATAACCATGAAATCTAGATTCAACTTCAATGGCGACAGGTTAAACTAACCGTATGTCACTTATTACCAGAAGATGTCTACTCTTTCAACCTAAACCGTGTGCCTTCTTCATGCATTTACAAATTATACACATGCAATATCTAACATCGAAAAGGGTAAGGCTAGTCAGAAAGAAGTAACAAACATAAATCGACTACCTTGCTGAACAGCTACAGAACCAAATTCCAATGGAAAAGAAAATGTAGAGTTTGGAGGACATTGAGGTCGAAGATTGTAGACTGGCAAGTTGGAGAAGAAAGCTGCCTCGAGAAAATTCATAAGCTCAGTCTGCGACTCGGAACCCTGAAAATTTCAAGGGCATTCACCATCAAACAGAGACTAAATTTTGAGCATATGTACAGCGAATCTCAAGGGAAAGAAAAAAAATAGCATAAACTAAATGGAAAGCGTCTCACCAAGATATTATAGGCTAAGCTATAGAAAATGTCAGAGGAATTTAGAGTTGATCCACTGCTGAAAAAGTTTCTACCCATACCTATCAAGTTCCATATTAATTGGACGTACATTAGAAACGGCATCAGAGAAAATACTCCGCTCACATCAGGTATAGTAGGATCAAAGCAAAACAATTCGTACTTTCTCCAAAAGTCTGATTAGTTCCAGTCAGAAGTATAGTAGCTGGACAAGAACCCGATATTTTACATGAATCATCGGGCAAGTCCCTATATGAAATAGAATCAGTTTGAACAGCACGATACTTTGATGCTGGTATCTGTAACAAGGGAGGCCATTCCGGTGGGCTAGGAATCGGACAGCTGCCGACTTGATCCAAATCTGAATATTCGATACCACAAACTTCTTCACATTTGCCATCACCATTTGTGTCAACACATTTACAGCCACATCTGTTTGATGGTTTATCCAACTCTTTATTGACCAAATTTTGAATGAGAACTAGCAATAAACAAAGTACGATAGGGACCAAAATGAGGCGAATATTTGACTTAACATCACGTTTCTGCGACAAAATGAGAAGGAAACAGTAAACATACCATTTCAGAATAGAATCATGAAATCATACAGAAACAACTCAATATGTAATTATCACATTTTTTACTTCCAAACAATATATGAAAGTCTACTCAACCAAAAAAAAAAATATTGATCTAATTTTTGCTTCAGATAAAAATAGAGCCACTTAATTCAAAAACTATCATTCTGAAAAAACGGAATAAGACCAACCTTTAAACGTCAATTACAAATTTTACCATATCATGGACAGAAGTGAACCCAACAAAAAATAACATCCAACAACAGGCCAAAGAGGTAACTAAATCTTGAACTTGAATTGCAAAAGGCAGAGTTAAATTCAACTTAACCATATTGAGACAGCGCCAAAAATTCAGAAACAATTAAACAAACCTGAAAAGTCAAATTCTTTCTGAGCAAAGCATTGGCTTGAGTCCAGAAGCTCGCTGGACCATCCGCCATGGTCGCAACTTTGTTTCAACTTTTTTTAAGTGCAATTATTCTATTTTTTATTTTTAAACTTGTTTAGAAGTTAGTGAAAGAAAGTTCGTTGAGAAATTTCCATTTTGAGAACTTAATGAAAAGACGTTTCCCTCAATTCACCGAATCTCGTTTATATAGCATCTCCAGTTTGAGTGCCCTCTTCTTTTTCTTTTGAACTTACCTAAGCTGACGAAATTGCCCTTTCATGTCCTATTCATTCTGGGTTAAGGAGGCTGCCTTAATGACTAAACTGCCCTTTGAATCAACGCGGTCTAATTTCTTTCTCTTTTTTTTTTTTTTGACCTTTTTAAAGATGCAACAAGCTAGATATGTTAATTAATTAACAGATTATGCGTAGCATTCGAGTAAGAGCATATGAGGCATGAATTCACTGAGGTGAAATTAGTTAAATAAGTATAATATAAAAATGGGTAAGCTATTATATTGCGAATCTTCTGATCTCCCTCATCCTCGCCCACACAATTTTTCATGCATTCACCTACTCACAGTTCATTTTTTTCCACGTTATGCTACAAACTTGTGTATATGGACATTCACACTATTAAAAAAAATGTTACTTTAGATTATTTGGAAATAGAACTTTACCTTTATTTCAGGATTGTATTTTAATTTGTTTCCACCGTCCACTATCGAAGTTTGTGATTTTGATAGAATTTAGTTGTTTTGTCAAATTAAATTTATTTTATATTATCTTTATCTTCGAGACAAAAATCATTTATTACCTACTTCCTCTGTTCCAGTTTATGTGAACCTATTTTCTTTTTGGTCCGTTCCAAAAAAATGACCCTTTTTTAAATTTGGTAACAATTTAGCTTAAACTTACAATTCTACCCTTAATAAAAAACTTTTATAACCACACAAATAATTTGGGCCCCTTTTTGACTTGTTTAGGACCATAAATATCAAAAATCTTATTTTTTCTTAAATTTTGTGCCCAGTCAAAAAGGTTCACATAAATTGAAACCGGAGAAGTATTTTTAAGTTTACCAATACTACTCCAAATAGTGAGTGTTAGTTAAAATATTTAATAAATAAATAATGATAAGTTTATAACTTAGAGAAATAGTACTAGTTTAATGATTAATTAAGGTTACTAGAATGCCTGTGTGGTTGGACCGGAGGGATCTAGCGCCTACCTAAAATAGAGTTCTGTCCAATGATTGGGATATTCAAGGGAATAGTAAATACAGATAGCCGTCAAATGCGGATCTCAACATTAGAAAGTGTACGATTGCTTCTTCCCTTGCTGCTAAATTTGTCCGCGTACATAAATAATGTACTTCTATTATTTGTTCTTCACTTCTATGACCAGACAAGTTAATTGTTTAAGGAGTCAAATATATGCCTCTGAATCAGATTTAAAAAGTCACTTGTTCTTAAAAAGAGAGAGAGAAGTCATTATTTCACTCAAAATCACAGTGCGTCAGCTTACATTAAATAACAAAAAATTTCAATTCAAATTCTAACTATTAAAAAGTAATTAAGTCATTCGAACACGGATTCAAGAGAAGCGACAAATATATTTGCGATTTGCTCCATCATCTGTTGTTTAGCTTGAGTAATGTCAATTCTTTAATTTTCATAATATTCGACGTAGTTTTATTTTCTTTAACGGAGAAGAAAACACGAAATTTCATGAAACCTTCCTGCAAGTAAAGTCAAACATAAGACTTTAGGTACTGTTTGACTAAAAAAATATAATTTTCAGCTAGAACAGTTTGAAATTATATAATAATGGGTTAAACTTAATTAATATTAATATTTCTAGACGTAGGTTCCGAAAGTGTGACTAACGTTAGACAGATCTAATTGTGGAATGATAACAATATGCATTAACTGTTCCAAAAAGTATAAGCAATAATAGAAGAAGAACTAGTAATAAATAACAATAAATAGCATTTAAGTAAATAGGAGAAGTGGTTTACTCAATAAAGGATGAACTAGATGATTGTCCCTCCTGACAATGATGAGTGACAGATAAATCCTAGAATGTTCGAATTATTCTCGGATCTGATGGAAAAGTGTGGGGAATAATATGAACAAGATCCTTGATGAAAAAGTAGTATTTGTATCTTTGTAAGAGAGAGAATCTTTTATCGAAAGTCCGTTCTTATCAAATAAGTGTCACATGCCCTCATTCCTTATCTTTTTTCCTATTTGTATGGGACATATCCTTAACAAGTCCAAAATAGTACAAGTGCATAGAATATCTACTAGAATATTCTCTTTAATATCCTATTCCAAAAACTAGTTGTTACAGCGCCATCTGCAGTACTCGACCTCGACCATTGTTGGCATCTCGACCACGAGTCTTGCTGCTTTCTGGTTGACCTCGACTGACTTTTTTCTCAATGCTACCTTGCCCTAAATATTCTGGGGCAGATTTCGACCTATACAGTTAGTCCCTCCACTTATTGAGACTGGCCTCAGACGACCTTGATGAGTGGATTCTGTTTGTTGTGGTCGAGAAGATTGCATGAGTGGGTTGGGTAGTGACGTTTGAGACGAGCTGACAACGTGGCCTTTCGTGAGACTCAACTTTTGGTGTTACGTCATTTCTATACCAAAGTGACACGAGATGGCGACCATAATACTTGAAGACGACGTCGAGTTGGCATCTGAGGTTCCAATATCGGCTGAGGCCGTAGAGGGCGTATCCCTTTCTTCTGCGACGACGGAAGTTGAAGGGCTGTCTACGAGGGTTTCTAATACCTTGCGGCAAGAGGGGCCATCGACTTCGCAACCAGCCGACGATATTTCTTTGTCGTCTCATGGGAGAAATAAAGGTATTGCCGATGACGGTTATGAGACGGGTTCAGACGTCGACACTGCTGAATTGAGGATAATGAAGGAGGGGTTTACCCAACTCGAAGTGAGGTTGGAAGGGTCTACGAGGACTATTGTGATCCCCATGGATCGTGATCTATTAAAGAATACGGACAATGTAGTCCCCGCCCTCGGCCCTTTTTTGCTCTAACGTGAAAGGTAAGACCCTCAAAGAGCTGGACGACGTCACTCTTTCGAGGAGCATAGCCGGCCTTGCCCTCATGGTGAGTATTTTGGGGATTCATTTTCCGACTAGCATTTTGTTGTGTTTTGTCTTTATTGGAGGGTGTCCATATTTTTTGCTTCTTTTTCTTATGTTTGCAGACCATGATTTTGGAGATTGAAATCTCTCGGAGGGAGGAGAGGCGTAAGCACATTTTTGAGAAGGTGGAGCGCAAGTATCTTGAGTACCGCGGTAAGTACTGGGAGATTCGCAAACATTTTGGCGAGGGCAGCAACTTGCAGGCCCTTCGTGATGATTTGAAAAAGAAGGACGGCGAGCTAGTGAAGATCATTGAGAAATGCAACATTCTTAAAGGGACGTTTAGAGGTAAGGAAGAAGAGCTCAAAGTCAGCAATGGGGTCAAAGCCCAGTGCAACGATCTCCAAGCCCAGGTGGCTTCATTGCGCTCCCAACTTGAGGAGTGTCAATTCAGAGCGGATGTTCCAAGCGGCAAGGTCGCTAAGAAGGCAGAGGACCTTGAGAAGGCGGAGTTTGCTCGATTGGAGGCTTTGAGGAAGGCGGAGGCTTTGGAGGTAGTGATCTGTATTCTTTGCTCTGATCTAGAAAGTGACTTGGAGACGGTTCGGCTTAAAGAAAAGTGACTTGATGAGAGGATTGGAGAGCTGGAGAAGGAAGCTTTTAGCCTCTACGACTGAGTCACCGCTCTTGAGGTCAAGAAGGCCCAATTGTTGGCTCAAATGTCTTCTTCACATACTTCAGATTTTTCCAATATTCCTCGAGAGTTGTACGAGGAGTGGATTCACGCCGAGGCCCAGTTGGATGTGTTTAGAGATTTGAAGAGGCTAGGAACTGTTTCAGAGGTCGTCTGCGAAGATGCTCGTGTTAAGACTCGCGAAGCTCGAGTCGTTTGCGGGTATGACCTTGCTACACCGAAGGCCGTTGATGACGAAGGGGACGAAGACGTGGACCCGCTTGAGCAGAATGCCTGGTATGATGTTGTGCATCCTGAGGGTGAGGGCGGCAGTGGCGAAGGTGTTGAAGGTAAAAGGGGGCGATACTGTCAATATTCTAAGTATGAAATGCCAACTTCATTATGTGCCTCTAATTTTCTTCATGTGGTTCGTTTTTGTATGTTTTTTAATTCTGCCTTATGGTTGCCTTTATTTTCTAGCAGTGATCACTTAATGGCGAGTGGAGACCAGAGGTTGGTGGGCTAGTAGGTGGGTATTAGTTTGAACAAGGTCGAACATAACCTAAGTTTTAATTATGTTGAGGGCCAGTAGGTGTTGGTTCAAACAAGGTCAGATATAACCTAAGTTTAATTATGATCGAGGGCCTGTAGGTGTTGGTTCGAACAAGGTCGGACATAACCTAAGTTTAATTATGGTCGAGGGCTGATAGGTGTTAATTCGAACGAGGTCGAACATAACCTATGTTTAATTATGGTGGAGGGTTGATAGGTGTTAATTTAAACAAGGTCGAACATAACCTATGTTTAATTATGGCAACGGGTCGATAGGTTTTAGTTCGAACAAGGTCGAAGATAACCTAAGTTTAATTATGGTTGAGGGATGATAGGTGTTATTTCGAACAAGGTCGAACATAACTGCAGTTTAATTATGGCCGAGGGATAGTAGGTGTTAGGTCTAACAAGGTCGTATGCAACCTATGTTTAATTATGCTTGAGGACCAATAGATGTTGATTCGAACGAGGTCGAACATAACCTGTGTTTAGAAAGATATGCCTCTAGGTGCGGCATTTGTCGACATCGTGAACTTTAAGCACTGTTGCCTTGGTTGTACATTTGGAGAAATAGAAATAAACTTTATGCATTGTTGCTTTGTTCATACACTTGGAGAAATTTACATATTTTTCCAGGTGTTGGCTGAGGTTTCAGTCCTAGTCTATCTAGTCCCTTCATTGGTCGACCTGGAGAAGGCTTGAGAGGTCGAGCAATGAACTAGCCATCATATGCCTCCGTCTTTGCGTACTTCAACTTGAAGTGTCCCCTTCGCCTCATTAAAAATATCCTTGAGAAAACCCAATTGGGACAAAACTCAAGTGATGGAAAA